ACTCCGATCCTGTCTGACGACCTGCATATGTATACAACAATGGACAGACCGCCAGATAGATGCAAGGCACGCTGCATGTGCAAAATCCCTCTTGGTTTGGGTTTGAACTGTACTTGTCCCGATGCATGGAAAGAAAGAGAACTAAAACTAGACTGTACAGGGCGTCGAAGAGCACCAATTGTAACCATGGCATCCCTGACAAGTTGCAACACTGTGGCACACATGGTCACCCGCAGGACACGTCACTGGGCAGCCAGAGGTGGCCGGATGACAGCTGTCTGTCATGGTGGTTGCATCGTGGCAAAGCACCTCGTGCATGCCGCAAGTGAGCGGGCAAGTGTGAGAGGAGCACCAGTTGTAGCCATCACAGCCCGCGCACACTGGTGGGCTGTGGCACACATGCTCACCTGCAAGACATGTCACAGGGCAGCCTGTGCTCTTCGGATGGCAGCTGTCTGTCATAGTGGTGGAATCATGGCACATCACCTCATCCACACCACAATACACTGGACATGGGCTGGGAGAACAGTAGCTGTAGCCATGACAGGTGTCGCATGTGGGTGGCACGTGGCACTCATGGTCACCGGAAGCACATGTGACCGGGCAACCTGTGCTTGCTGGGTGGCAGCTGTCCGTCATGGTCGTGGCATCGTGGCACGTCACCTCATCCATGCCACAGTACACGGGGCAAGGGCTGGAAGAACAGTAGTTGTGTCCGTCACATCCGTTGCATGTCGGCGGCATGTGGCAAACCCGCTCACCGACAAGACACGCGACCGGGCAGCCAGTGCTCTTCGGATGGCAACTGTCCGTCATGGTTGCAGAATCATGGCACATGACCTCATCCATACCACAATACGTTGGACAGGAGCCAGGAGAACAGTAGCTGCAGCCATGACAGGTGTCGCATGTGGGTGGCACGTGGCACACATGGTCACCGGGAGCACAGGTGATCGGACAACCTGTGGCTGCTGGGTGGCAGCTGTCCGTCATGGTTGTGGAATCATGACATATCACCTCATCCACGCCGCAATACAAGGGGCAAGTGTAGGAGGAGCACCAGTTGTAGCCATCACAGCCATCACACGTCGGCGGCATGTGGCACACATGCTCACCTGCAAGACATGTCACAGGGCAGCCTGTGCTCTTCGGGTGGCAGCTGTCTGATATGGTTGTGGAATCATGGCACATGATTTCCTCTGTGCTGCAGGTCACAACTTGAGCTGCACCATCCTTCTTAACCTTCACTTTCGTCTGCAGGGCACAGGTTCCCTTGGTGCTCGTGTCTGCCAACATGGCACAGGCGGCGGTCAGAGACAACAGAGTGGACAGCAGCATCACTAAAATTCCTCCAGCGTCAAGACGCGCAAACCCTTGCTCAAGAGTGAGTGAAACTGGCGGCGGATGACGAGTAAGCAGGCCAGACATGGTGGTTGTCGCCAGCTAAGCTAAGTACGGCTTGCGGGTGAACTTGCACGCTCGGCTTACAAGATATCTATCTGCTGGACATGTGCTTGCGTGCTTGTGACTGGGACTTCTTCTTCGGTGCATGTGTCAAGGGTGTTACAATTACCTAGGTACGACTTCTGTTGGGTACCAATCGGGGCGGGCTTCTCAGCTATCCAGCTATGTCCAAATCCACGCAGGCAAACCTGACCGAAAAATGAGGTCCCGCTCGTCACAGGGCCTCCGAGCGAAAGATAGAACCGCGCACCGTCTAGACGCCAGTCTCTAGTCATACCAACTCTGTGGAGCGGGCCAGGAACTTTGCGAAGGGACGCGTCACATTTTCTCAGCAACCTTCAGCTTCATGCTGCATCCGCAAAAACAGCAGTAGCGGGGAAGACCACATGCTGACAGTGAAGGCTTGTACATGTGGACAGAAGATATATACATATACATATGCGTATACATATATATATACATATGTATATATATATATATGTATGTGTATGTGTATATATATATATAGCATGTAAATTCTCACCGGCATTAACCAGCACTGGTCTGTTCCAACGCCGAGTTCGCAACGGCAGCGATGGAGGATTCAGGAACGGAGCTGCTCCGTCAGAAGGCCGCTGCTTCGTCAGATGCCACTTGTCGTCAGCTTATTTTGGCTTATTTCAGTACATGAAACAGCTTACATTACACGTTGAAATGCTACTTAGAAATTGCATGGCTGTTACAACTATCTCACTTTCTAGTGTCAGAGTCTTTGCGGACGTTCAATGTGTGATCATACATCTTGACGCTGAAAGGAGCCCGCGATCTCTGACAAATGAGCAAGTCCCCTGCGTTGGTCATGAGATGTTATGACGAATGGCAAACAGCCAGCCAACGGCAAGCCGAAGAGCAAGAACCACGAAACTTAATAAGAGCCACTAGGACTTTGTCTATGCGACAAGTCAAGACACTGGGCCTGCTATCACAAACGGCTTGCTGTATCCCCCCACCGGCCGCGGCACGACTTTTCTGGAGCATTCCACTCGCTGTCAGCGGCCGGCATGCTCAGTGCGCGTGATCCCTTGCACCTCAGCGCGAGGTGCCAGCTCACCCTGGTGGTCTACGAAGTAGGCGAACTCCTCCTGCAGCAACACCTGGCACCGTCTCTGACCGAGGCTGCGAAAAACGAGGTTAGGAACTCTCGACACCATCGGTCCAAAAATCACTGGGAACCTGGCCTGGTCCGCCTTGTCACGCCGGGATCCACTCCGAAACAGGTTCGGGCTGCACGTAGGCAAACTCCTAGCCGAGGCTGAAAGGGTCAGCGCCCGGAGGACAAGGGCAGGACCGCAAGGCCAAGCTTCCCATTTCCCGGCCTCGACATATGATCGCTCAGGATCATCGCAGCTTTCCTGCCAAGGCACGCACGGAGGTTCACTTCAGCTCTGTCCGGACTTGTCCAGGAATCTCAGCCCGGCGGAACCCACAAAACCACCAGGCGCCTCACAAGAGTAGATACAGATCGTGCCGAAGTCCAAGCGATCTTGCAGGGGCGAGCCTTCAGACATGCTTGGGCGATGTATGCCAAGTCAGGTGGACGGACAGCAAATGACAGCAGAACGGGGGAACGACGTCCATCGAAACTACATGCATAACACGTCGAGGCTGATTTTGCATTTCGAGAATGACGCCATCGACGACCTGTTGCAGCCATGTTACAAGACCTTGGTTCAAGAACAAAAGGGCAGTTCTAGACTGCGGTTCCTTTTTCGACCTCTTTATGATCCTGTCATACATGGTCGATACTACTCCGTGTGCCTAGGATATCCAATCAAAAAGATTCCTAATTCGTCCTACCTTGGAAAAGTCCCTAAATCTCAATTCAATCGTTCGGGTTGGCCTCGGGCCTGGACGCACAATGCCTATCTCTCTGTTCACCTGCATGCCTGTCAAGAGCGTAGCATCTTATGTACGCGTATGCACGCGAAAAATGACTAATTTAATACATCTCCATATATATATATATATTTACACACACAGAGTACATACAGACACAAGTGAGTGTGTTTAGTATGAAATTTTGCTGATTGGAAAACACGAAATCTCCATAGTGCACCGTCCTTCCATTTCCGTCTTCGCGCAAGACTTGCGTCACTGCAAATTCAGGGACTTCCGGCTTGACGGCGGGTTCCTGCAGGATCCCGCAGGGGGTTCCTTCACCGGGGTTTCCTTCCACCTTCGCGGCAGGTGCGTCTGTCCTGTCTGAGCAGGGCGGATTCTTTCTTCGCGGATCATGGGTGATATTCCGTCTTCGCGGACCATTGCCGCTTTTGGTGTCGGTATTTGCTTGCAAGTGTCCAGTCTGCTGGCCGGATTCCGTTTACAAGCCAAATTCTGTCTTAATCGAATTGCGCCCACATGCATATATTGTTAGCATGCATGGATGCACATGCACATGTACAAGTATGTACGCATGTATTTAGGTACTCGCGGCTTACTGCATATACTATCCACATGGGCAGTTCTCCAAATTAGGGTCCCTTTTTGGGTCCCCAATATAGTGCGGCACTCTTATCAAAAAGGACCCTAAAAGGGACCCTATGCTTTTCTGCACGTTGCGTCTGAGGCCGCGACCCGTCGACTGAAGACAATACAAACGGTTTCAGATGACTTTAACTGATGCAAAGAAGGAATTAACGAGAAGACATGCTACTGAAGTCGTGGAAGTGCAGTATCCATGTGGTGCCGTTGCTGCTGTTGTCCAACGCCCTTTGAAAGAACATCTAAAGCTGACGGTGGATATGATGGCACTTCTTGGACCATAGAAACCGCTCAAAGTTGCCATACCCAATGCCGCTGCAGTCTTGACATGAGTCACAAGATACACCTTAATATACCTTAATGTAATCCTTACAAAGTCTCAAGAAGTACGATCGGAAACGGGAAACGAAGATTCGAGCGGTCATGCCCCGTGACAGGAATTCTGGAAAAAAACCATAGGTGGCAAGAAACTCGATAACGACTTGTAACCAGGATGTGCGTGGTCCTTAAGGCCTACTGCTGAATTCCCAAACTGGCAAGAGCTTGGGCAGCTGCCAAGGGAATAGGTCGTTTACAAGTACGAACAGGCACAACACAAAGCCCTTGTCAACCTGAGAAAATAACGCCGTCAGGCTGAAGGCTCGTCAACAAACTCAAGTATGTTTGGCGTGGGAGCTCAAACAGAGCGTCTGGGGGCAAAGCATGAGATTTATAGGATCGAAATGTTCTACTCGCGACGTCATCTACCAGTACCGAATGCCCATGCAAGCGGCGTGACTTGTAGCAGATCCTGGGGGTCTTGGTGTTTAAGCGACGTCGGGGCTTGCAGGTGCAAACAACGGCTTGGATCAAGCCAGCTGGTGGCTTGTCACCCTCGTCAAAATCAAACGGTGCCAGCTGGCAGGCGTTGGTACGGTTGACGAGAGTCGCAATAAGATGCGCCTGGACGGCAACCGCCCTCTGAAGGAAAGGCTGAAATTTGACGATGAGTTTGTAGGATAAAGCTTTGGCCGTTGCTTTGGCCAAAGCATCAGCCTTTTCATTAACCGGCTGTGAGTACTGGGCGCTGACCAGTGTGTCCATCGGTATGAGCTTTGACTTTGACAAACTCAATATTCACATCGTGCATCCTAGCTACATCTAGGAACATCTCCCATAAGTCGGGATTCTCGAACTGATAGGTACAATCCTACAAGAAATTATGACTCTGTAAAAAACTTTGTACGACGGAGAACACTAGCGCATTCAGAGGCAATAACAACATCGCGTGCTGTCATGTGCACTGCCAATTTCAAAGCAAAACGCTCACAGCGAAAGGAGTTTACAGATGCTCCTTGCACAGCTACCGAGTTTTTGAAGATTTTGAAGAGCCCAGGAACGGTAACAGCGGAGGCACCTCCACGTATAGGAACCCACCACTGATTGAACACGCTACCGTCCACAAAATCTTCAGAATGTGGGCGCCAGCGCTCTTCAACCGGAGGTAGCTTCCAAGTTTCGCGCGTCGCCGGTCTTTACAGAACTCCGGAGGCTCGAAGAAAATCCCCGTGACCCAAGATACTAGAGGCTCATCACCTCGGGGAGGGCGATGCTCTTGCACCGCATCGCACTCGCAAGACCTATGGCGGTGTGACTCCTCCTGACCATTGTGGTGCTCAAGACCTGCCGCAGCAAATCCGAATCTATTGTAATTGGATCCTGACAAGAGTGCTGACGGGATTCCTCGCGTGTACTGAATGTTGCGAGGGAGTGCGTCGATATGCTCGCGAAGGTTCGGAAATCGTTGTTTGCGGGCGAAAGGTGTACCAAGTAAAAAGCGTGTCAAGTCACTGAGACTGATTGATCAAGTATGTCCTGATGTCCCGAGCCAGTTCCTCTAGGAAGGCTTCCTTGGGACCCTCATTTAGAGAACCACCCGCATTCAGCTTGACAGAAGAATTGCAGCGAGTGGACCTGCCAGCAATGAGATGATCATTGGCTGAACCTGCCAGGGCCAGGGCACTAGATGGCACTTCAGGGTTTAGGGTTTGGGGACCGGCATGATGTAGCGAGTACTTCTAGGGGTGCCTGGCACTCGAAGATGCGTGAGCCGCCGCAGTGGCACATGGGAGCTTCACCTTCCAGCTGCCGGTGCCTGCAGAACCTAAGATGAGCCAGGCCGACAAAAGGGCATGAGAAACCGTGAAACAAGCATCTCAGAATTCAGTGGTACCAGACTGCCACCTCCTCTCACAGAGCCAGAACTAAATAGTAGATGGTCTAAGGAACCTGGCCTGCAAGGTGCGGCAGTCTCAGGGTTGCACCATCTCGGAACACCCTGCAGGTGGTAGCGCAGGACCTGCACTAGACCGGCTGCACAGACCTCTGACACATGTCGGCGGAACGCTCAACTACACAAGGCTGCTGTGGCAGCTACCTCCCGACTTTGGGATAAGTCATGGCAAGTCGTCTCCGAGGTCTTTGCGTGACTCTTATTCTCCTCGTGGAAGCGTTGGAAGCGAGCGAACACTGGATCCTGACAAGGCTCTGCCCAAGCGAATCCCGGATTTCATAGACCTGGAGACCTACCACGAAGAAACGAGGGAGAGGGTGTGTCGCAGGTGTCCTTCACTGAGTGCTCCTCAACCCACTCGGATGCGAAACTGGCACCTCAGACTGCTTCGAAAAACCAGGGCATGCATCAACACCCACACTGCTTCCCTTGTATGCGCAGCTATCCACGGTAGCAGGGCTCACACGGCGGAAGAAACGAAGATCCAAATGGACCGCTGACATTTGCTGTGTTTGCTGACTTATTTTAGACTATACCCCGAGGCCGAGCTCCGAACCGAACTTGTCCAGTGCAGCCTCGGGGTCTTCTCGAACCATCTCCTGGTACCTCCGAGGATCTCCGTGGACAGCAGGCCAACCCCTGGGAAAGGGTAACAGTAAAGGCTGTAAACCCAGTGGCTTCGATCCAAGATCCCAAAGGGTATTGCTCCGGCCGAGTCCCTCCACGTGTGCAGATTTTGCGTCCTGTTCCGAGGTGCACACGCTTTGAGCTTTGCCAAGGCATCTGTGTCCTCGACGAATGCCCAGGGCAGCGTGCAGCTGAAGTGCTCCGGAAGTCTAGACAGGGTCCTGCCAGACTCCCTCTTCCCAATAGCCCCGCCTTCTTGTCCCGATCGGTCACTTGAATGCCTGGCCACTACTGCATTAGCTGCGCACTTGTCACGATGCTGGCCTGGCATGGCCGCACCACGGCAGACATATGCAGACATCCAGTGTGAGCCTTCTGCGGTTTTCGTGATGTTGCTGCGTGGCTCTCTTGCGCTGCCTTGCACAGCGTCTGCAGTCTCCTGAACAGCCGCTGCGTAGGCATCGGGATTGTTGCCATCCTTGCACCAGGAAACGACAGTTGAAGGCACTCTTTGCTGCTCATGCTTTAACTTGTTTTGAAGAATACATATGCATGTGTATGTATATATATAT